ACCGATCAGTAATATTTAAGATGTAGCTTCATTCTTTTATTATTTCAGTAACAACTGTGTTTTTGTTTCCAGGTTAAAAATGAATTCACCAGACGAGGACTTCCATCAAGCTTAACTCTACGCCTCCTAAGTGTTTCTGCTCGAGCAACGGCAGCTGTCCACTAGTGGCAAATTCTATAACAGCATCTGCTCCTGCTGGGGAAAAAGACCTGTTTAGTTTGTGTCTTTCTTTTTTATTCATTTTGGTATTTTCAGAATAAAAGGTGCTGCAAAGGTTGCGTTGATCTGCACACATATGATCCAACAACAGCCTTTCTTTTCTCAAAAACGTTTACACCAGCAGATGCAAAACCAGAGCAAAAACATGACGATAAACTCCATCCTCCCAGCCCTGAACTATTCAGACCCTAATGTTCATGGGTGAACTCAGACCTAAGGCTGTGCTCAGCACTTTGTCTATTATAGTATGACTTTATTTACTGTGTGAGGTCGGTGGCAGATGGTGCAAAAACCCTTGGTGGAGCTGATTCCCTTAATTGTTCTTAGATGTAGCTCCTGTGTTAGTCCAACACTGTCGGAACTTCAGGGTAATTTTGCCAGAACTTCCTGATGTGAACGTGTCTCCACTTTCGTGTTCAGGAATTTATTGGCGTACCTGAACAGAGGTAGGTACTTGCAAAGGCCCGGAAGAGTTGCTGACTGGAACTTTTGGTAAACTCATGCTGATCGGTTATAACTCAATAAATGACATCATCAGAAGTCGTCAAAAACAACGACACTGGTAAAATTAGAAGAGCTGCTTGTAAAGCAGAATAGAAGCACAAGTACACAAGTACGGTCCTCGCTGCTTTAAAACCACTGTTAAATTCCCAACACCCAAACATGCAGCAGAACTCCCCCCACAGCCATGTAATTCACAGGGCTTAGTACCATTTGAACACAATGGGACAGATTCAGAAGGTAAAAAGATTAAATTTTACTTAATTGTCATCCAAAAGGAAAAAGAATGTTGGTCATTTTGTAGTTTCTCTATTGATAGAACTACGAAGGGAACAAAATGAGGGCAGGAGCTTTCTTTATCTTTATTGGGCAAACACTGGCCCAATCCCAATACTTGCACCCTCGCGCCCTTCAATTGCGCGCTCGTGGCCAGGGGTGCGAGTGCGTAGGGCAGACCTGGGCATTTTACGGCCCGCGGGCCACATCCGGCCCTTTGGTTGACTTTGACCGGCCCGCGTAAGGTTAATTGGAAATTACAAAATAAATGTATTTTCTCATTTTACCTCATGCATGGGCTAAGGCTGCATTGCTTTTATTTTGAAGTTGTTTTTTACGTGCACAATGACGCAATACGTATAGCAACAAGTGCCCGCGGTTGACATGGTGATTGTAGCCTGAGAAATGTCCGCTCATGCAAAAAAAAAAAAAAAAAAAAAAAAAGAAAGATGCCGAATGCAGGATTTTCAACAAAAATTGGACTGCTAAGTATTTTTTTTACTGAAGTCGGAGGTAAAGCCGTGTGTTTGGTTTGCGGGGAGGAGATTGCCGTGTTTAAGGACTACAATTTGAGTCGGCATTACGACAAGAAACACTCGGAAAAATACAAGAACTTGTCTGATGCTGAGAGCTGAGAGGGCACGGACATCCGAAGCTTTGCTTGCAAAGTTACAAAAGCAGCAAGGCTGTTTTACTAAGCTTCACACATCCAGGGATGCAGCAGCCAGGACCAGCTTTGTGATATCCCACAAAATAGCTAAAAACAGCAAGCCGTTTTCGGAGGGAGAGTTTGTCAAAGAGTGCATGGAGGACTCTGCCGCACTAATATGCCCTGAAAAAAATGGCGCATTTGAGCAAATCCCGCTGTCCAGGCGAACCGTGACCAGGAGGATCGAGGACATTGCGGGGAACCTGGAGCTTCAGCTGCAACGTGAAGTGGCAAGTTTTGACTTTTTCTCATTAGACGGGAGCTGTGATGTCCGCGGGACACAGCCCAGCTGCTCGTATTTGTCCGGGGATAACGGACTTCAAGCTCACAGAGGAGCGGGCAGCAATGCGGTCGATGAAAGGGACAACGACAGGGAGTGATCTTTTTACAGAGGTAAATGCGTGCATGGACACTCTGGGATTGAAATGGGAGAGACTGTCAGGTGTCACAACAGACGGTTGTCCAAATCTTAAGCCGGGCGTACACTGTGCGACTTTTTCACTTTTTTGAGCCGATTTTCCAGTCGTGCGAGAAGCCACGACATCGGGGCGAGTTTTGCGCCGAGCGGTCGTGTAGTGTACAGGGGGTTACGAGAGGCGATTAACACCACGTGACCAGCCGCCGATCAGCAGTCGTGAGGTCGCACTCTGGTGTGTTTAATATTTCGCTCGTCCCTCGTGAGGGTATCGCACTGTTGAAGCGGCGCTGCGAGCAGCTGCGACCCAAAAAGTATCAGAACCGCTCACGGCGCATGCGCGCGCAATCCTGCATCAACGCCGGTCGCTTGCTATTTCCCTAATAACACACGCTGTTCGTTTTTGTTTCTACACGTTTTTTTTACTCACAAAGATTGTCAAGAAAGCGTGTTTGTCGTGTTCATGTCAAATTAAACTGATCACAAAACACAGATTTACTTTCTTTATTTCGTTTTCCTCATCCAACCCCCATAAATCCCTGTGTGTCCTCCTGCAGCACTCCCGAAGGACAACAGGCAAGACAAGACAAAAAACTCTGACGTGTTGAGTAAAAACTGCTATTTTTAGCACATTTTTAGGGCCGACGTGTTGCTACCAGACGTACAGTGTGAGCAGTCAGGTCGCATCCGAGAACTGGGTCGTGCAGTGTGAGCACATGACTCGTGAGATCTGCTCTGCGAGGAAGTCGTACAGTTTGAGCTGAAGCTGAGTGCTGCGAGTGAAAAAGTTGCACAGTGTACGCCCGGCTTTACATGGAAAAACGTCGGACTTTTGAAACGCATGCAAGATAAAGTGACAGAAATCGATGCAGATCAAAAATAGGTGTTTTTGCATTGTATTATACACCAACATGTGTTGTGCAAGTCAGTGCTAAAAATCAACCATGTTACTGATGTTGTTACTAAAATAATAAACTTCATCAGGGCGCGGGCAATGGATCACAGACAGTTTGTGGCTCTTTTGGAGGACTCCACACAGCTGTCAGATGGCTCAGCCTGGGGAAAGTGCTGAAGAGGGTTTGGGACTTGAAAGCAGAGATTCAGGATCTCTGCTGGATTTCTACTCTTCTCGTGAGGAGGAGAACTTTCCAAACCTGAAGAGACATGCTCAGAAGATGTTGGTTCTCTTCAGCTCTACCTACATTTGTGAACAAACATTTTCAATGATGAAGTTTACAAAATCCAGGTATACTGTAGATCCTCTCTCACTGATGATCATTTGTCAGCTGTGCTTCGCTTCTCCACCTCAGACATTCAACCTGACTTTGATGCACTCGTTAAAGCCCAGCAGAGACTAGATTTCTCTCACTGAATAAGAAAAAAATCACTTAAAAACACAAAATAAGGTGTTTGGACCACAAATGTAGGCAACTAGCAGTGAACTGGGACACTTTTTTTAAACCTCTTTCTCAAGATCACAGTTCAGTGATTTTATTTTACAGACAATACTGTGTGTCTGTAGAATGCTAAGAACCTCTTTCCAACAATATTTGAAACTCAGAATGTGTTTTGGAGTGAATGTGACTGAAACTGTTAACTAATATAAGTCACAAATGTTTAACAAAAACCAAATGTGCACACTTTGTTTACCATTGCCTTGGGAAATTTGAATAAATCACATTTTTGTAAGACAACCTCACTTTTTCCTTTTTGCTCATTTATAACATTTAGTCTACTCTTACCAGCTTGAAGAAACAATGGTATTTACTGCTTTTTATAAAGAAATACCATTAATATTATGCATAATTGACTTCAGCCTTTTGGCCTGGCCCTCCACAATATTTTCTATTTCTCATGTGGCCCCATGGAAAAAATAATTGCCCACCCCTGGCGTACCTGAACAGAGGTAGGTACTTGCAAAGGCCCGGAAGAGTTGCTGAGTGGAACTTTTGGTAAACTCATGCTGATCGGTTATAACTCAATAAATGACATCATCAGAAGTCGTCAAAAACAACGACACTGGTAAAATTAGAAGAGCTGCTTGTAAAGCAGAATAGAAGCACAAGTACACAAGTACGGTCCTCGCTGCTTTAAAACCACTGTTAAATTCCCAACACCCAAACATGCAGCAGAACTCCCCCCACAACCATGTAATTCACAGGGCTTAGTACCATTTGAACACAATGGGACAGATTCAGGAGGTTAAAAGATTAAATTTTACTTAATTGTCATCCAAAAGGAAAAAGAATGTTGGTCATTTTGTAGTTTCTCTATTGATAGAACTACGAAGGGAACAAAATGAGGGCAGGAGCTTTCTTTATCTTTATTGGGCAAACACTGGCCCAATCCCAATACTTGCACCCTCGCGCCCTTCAATTGCGCGCTCGTGGCCAGGGGTGCGAGTGCGTAGGGTGTCCCGATTTCCAAGTGAGGAAGTTGACCACGCCCCCATTGCACCCTTAATCTGCACTTCAACCAAGTCCGCAGCAATGCGGACCTCGGGCAAGGGTATTACCCACAAGTCATTGCTGCAGGAGAAAAGGCTCAAGTTCCTTTTCTGAAAATATGTAATGAAATTAGTTAATTTTAGGATGAGTAGTTGATGCTGTAATACTTTTAGACAAAGCAGCAATAAATGTAAATTTATTTCAAATAACTGTTTGGCTGTTTGTTTAAAAGTTGTTAATAAAGGTTATTGAAAAAAGTATCACAGTGACCAGCATCCCAGCATGTGTTGTGATCAATGATGCTCCTTGTCTCAATTCGGCAATTATTTGCACACTTGTGTACTGCACACTTGTGTACTGCGCACTCGAAGCCTTACAGCACACTCTCTCCAAGTGCACTTTGCTGAAGTCCGCAGTGCAAGTATTGAGATTGGGCCACAAGAAACTACCTTCTCTCTCTCTATCAGTCATCTGATACATGTAGAACTTGCACCTCCTCTAGTGACACAATACAGTTAGTGCACATTTACAACATGAGCACACACATTGTTCCTTCAATAAAAAAACAAGGTTTTTTCTTTGTATGGCACCTTTGAAGATAAAAATCACAAGGTTTTATGGTGTAGAGGGAAATAATTCTATGTTAATCCTATGTTCATCGTCAATGCTTGTTTTTGTTTAGTAGTTACAGGTTTTGCTCACAAGAGGGCAGTGTTATGCCAGAAGCAAAGGGAAAGGTCACCTTGTCTCCAGGTGGAGAGATCTGATTAGTGTCAACCCGACAGCTGGTTCCTTTGTTTTTGCCTCAGTTTGTTTGCTCAGTGTTTGGCAACCACAGAGATGTTTCTGGTATGTATCTTTAATTATTAAATAAGAATATTTATTATAAAAGAAATGTAAGTTTATTTGGACTGCATCTTTAAGGGGAATTTAAGTTCAAGAAAATGTAGAACTAAAGCCTATTTTACATCTAATCCGTCTGCTAATGTTCTAAATGGTCTAACTGTTTAAATGTGTTTGCCAAAGGTTATCAACCTATAAGTCACCAATTAAGAAAAGAAATAAGAGACTAAATGAGTGGAGTTGTCCAGCGCCCTCTATTGGATGCCACACCTATTCGACTTTGGGCAATGACAAAATAACTCGACGCAAGGCGCCTAACAAGGACCAAAATTGTGAAACGCACTTCCCTTAATTGTTAGGTATCCTGGTGCCAAAAGCACATATGGACACCTTTATGTCTGAACATGGTGGTTATTATGGACAATCTATGACGGGGTGGGCAATCTCAGTCCACGAGGGCCGGTGTCCCTGCAGGTTTTAGATGTGTCCTCAAACCAACACAGCTGATTTAAATTGATAAATTAGCTCCTCAACATGTCCTGAAGTTCTCCAAAGGCCTGGTAACAAATAGGGATGAGCGAGTACACCACTATCTGTATCTGTGTTTGTATCTGTTCAACCAACTAAATTAACAGATAAATTTGTATCTGTACTCGGAATGGGCGTGGTATACCCGGAAGTGGGCGTGGTTTGCATCAATATATTATTTTAAGTCTGAAATTGATATGGATTGATCAGAAGTTGATATGTGTGTGGTTTATTTGAAAAGTATTTACAGAGCAGCCTCAGAATAGAGATTAAATATTTTTGATCACAATAGTAAAGAAACCATTACAGAACAAGTGCTTCAATAAAATCAGAACATTAATATTTAAGTGCATGGATTAATACATCTGAACTCATGCAGTAGGAACTAGGAAATATGAAATACTAGAACCAGACACAACTTTATATATATTTTTTTATTTCAATTTGATTAAACTGACTTCTTTCTCAACGTTCTTGGAATTTTGCCCCACACAAAGTTAAACAAAACAATGTTGATTAAGGTGTGTGTGTGTGTGTGTGTGTGTGTGTGTGTGTGTGTGTGTGTGTGTGTGTGTGTGTGTGTGTGTGTGTGTGTGTGTGTGTGTGTGTGTGTGTGTGTGTGTGTGTGTGTGTGTGTGTCTGCTCTGTCTTCTCGATCCCCAGTGAGTCATGGCGGATAGCTGCTTGAATAACTTTTACTTCAGTGAAGTTTTGTTTTGAGTATGTCGTTTGCATGCGTGTGCGTGTGCGTGTGTGTGTGTGTGTGTGTGTGTGTGTGTGTGAGAGAGAGAGAGAGAGATAGAGAGGGAGAGAGAGGGAGCTAAAAAAAATAAAAAACCCGACCGGAGCGGAGGTAGAGACACAGCACATCAGCTCTGTCTTGTCAAATGCACCATGTAAGTTACGAAAAAAGTAACTTTAAATATTCAACCGAAAAAGAGGCGAGCTGAAGAAAACCTAGGGAAAACTGAAGAAACGTGAGCAACAGTGAAGCAATCACATCGAGATCCGTTACTATCTGTGTGTGTGCGTTGATGAGCCGGACGGACTGCGCTCCCGGCCGGCTAGAGAGTTTTGTGTGTAGGGAGGGGTGGGCGCTCTATGTGACTGGCCAATCACAGAGCGTGAAGACAGTCAGTTACCCAATGAGGATTTTCCTTCAGCACGATTACAGATATTTACGAGGTTTACTCGTTTCATGCTCGTATTCGTCAAAAATGCTTTATCCGTATCCCTAGTAACAAACTAATCATGTGATTCAGGTGTGTTGACCCAAGGTGAGATCTAAAACCTGCAGGGACACTGGCCCTCGTGGACTGGGTGTTTCTTCCCACCACATCTCTCCAGGTCTCACTGTCATTGCCCACGTGAGCGTCCCCCAGCAGAACGAGGGAGTGACCGGAAGGAGCACTCTCCACCACATTCTCCAAGGACTCCATATGGGTGGGTAGTCTGGACTGTAGTTTGGTGCATAAGTACAGACAACAGTAAGGACCCGTCCCCCCACATGTAGGCAGAGGAAGGCTACCCTCTCGTTTACTGGGATAAACCCCAACGCACAGGCACCAAGATGAGGAGCAACTAGTATGCCCACCTCTGCTCGGCGCCTCTCAGTGGGGGCAACTCCATAGTTTTAGTGTCCAGCCCCTCTCCGAGTAACTGCTTCTGGAGCCAGAGCCATGCATCAAGGTGAGTCCGATTGTATGTAGTCTCTACCTCTCAACCTCACACAGCACCTCAGGCTCCTTACCAACCAGAGAGGCGACATTCCATGTACAACAGGGGTGTCAAACTCAAACTCACACGGGGCCGAAATGAAACTCTGGGACGGAGTCGAGGGCCAAACTTAATATTTTTTGAAAAAGTGACGGCAAATTTGCACATTTTCTTTATCAACATATATGCAATTTTGAACCTTTTAATTTGGAAACAAACTTATTTCTGCATTAACACTGAATGTGGAATAACCAAATTATGTTTATGTTTATATGCTTAGCAGACGCTTTTACCCAAAGCGACTTACAATTTATTTTTATTTTTTTTACCTATAGGGCATGTTGTGATCTGTGGGGGAAACCGGAGTACCCAGAGAAAACCCACGCATGCATGGGGAGAACACGCAACTCCACGCAGAAAGGCCACAGCTGAGTATCGAACCTGCGACCTTCGTGTTGCGAGGCAACAGTGCTAACCACTGCGCCACCATGCAGCCCAAAATTAACGACATCTACTCTATTTTCCTTGCCCGGACTCGAACCTGGATCCTCCAGGAGGAAAGTCACCCGCTCTCCCAGCTGAGCTATGACAGCAACAAATTACACACGAGCAAGTCAGTAAATAAAAGGCATCAGTGGTATTCATTACTTGTGGTATAATCAGCATTTTTAAAATCCATTCAGGATTTATGTTTTCTTGTTTATTTATTTTTCTTATTTTTTATTCTCCTTTTTTTCTCCTGTAATAAGTGTCATTGCTGCTGTGACTTCTAGCTTTCCCCACTGAGGAACAATAAAGGGATTTTCTATTCTATTCATCTATCTGCAGCCTTTCCACTTCCTGTTTACTGTAGGTTAAATCTTTTCTCACGGGCCAACAACAAAATAAAGATATCATTTTATCTTAAATGAAAATGCAACATCTCACCTGTTAACTTTCATGTTTTGGAGCAGAAAAAGAGCATAAAACCAACACATTTAAAGCTCAGTTTGCTCCACTGGTTTACTGTGATGCTCACCTGTTCCAGCCAGATACCTGCATCATGGGGTTGATCTGAGCTGAGGAGGAGACTCCTGTTGTTTTGTTCATCTTCATCATAATAATGACAACATTAGATGACAACAGGTGCTCACATAGGTTTGTGCTGATGAACATGTCTGAGCAGCTTGACCACGTTGTTGTGTGTCGGGGAGGAAACACAACGACAGCAACCACAGAGCCGTGCTGGTTTGAGCGTGTCGCTGTTCGCTGGAGTTATATCGGCTCTGTCTGGACGTTAGTTGGAAAACTTTCTCTTTCAGTCGTGAACACATTACTGAGCGGCTAGAATCTCCGTTTCTGGGCTTCAACGTCAGAAAACAGCTGAGTGAACTCGGCTCTGTGAGAGGAGTGTTTAGTTTGTCCGAGACAGCGGAGCTGCAGACACCGCCAGCAGGCGCTGGAAAAAACACAAAGGAGGGGGCGCGTCGGCTCCGCGCTGACGCCGCAAAGCATCATGGGAGTTGAAGTCTTTGCGGTAAAATCGGCCAGCGGGCCAGTTTTAATATATTTTTGATATTTATCTTGCGGGCCACATAAAAATGCTCCGCGGGCCAGATCTGACATATGTGATGTACAAGGAGCCAGCTTTTGTAGCCAAGGATCAGACTGTCAAGGTCCTCGCCTTCAACCACCACCGATCACACATTGCACTTGACCTCTTTGGCCCCTCCCACAAGAATTAAAAATTTAATTGAAAATGAAAATGGAAAATAAAATAATAAGCAATGGAGGCCCAAAAGAATAAACAAACAGCAGCATGAAGGAAGCATGTGAGAAAGAACATAACCAGGTGATCACACAAAATCCAGCCTGAACAGGTGACTTTTCAGCTGCTTTTTAAAGGACATCACTGAGTCCATTGATCTCAGCCTCAGGGGAAGAGTCTGGGGCCACAGCAGCTAATGATCTGTCACCTTTGGTCTTTAGCCTGGTGCGCTGCACAACCAGTAGGCTTTGGTCACTGGACTTTGGGGACCTGATGGGGGTAACATCTCAGATGTACTGTTGGATGTCATCTCCATAAATATTGTAAGAGATTTTTTTTCTAAGAGCTCAACATGTGCTGGAGAGGGAGCAGATAAAGGAGGACCAATAGAGGCCCGAGCACAGAACCTTGTGGGACACCATGGGTGAGAGAGGTGATGGCCCGTCAGGCCCGAACTTGGAGACAGCCACAAAGAAGAAACACTCAGACAGATAAGAGGAGAACCATTCCAGAGCAGATCCTGGTAGGCCTACCCAGTCTCTCAGCCTCTCCAGTAGCAGATGATGGTCAACAGTCAAAGGCAGGACCAGAACCGAACAGTCCCCTGCATCACTGTGAGTCAGAAGGTCATTAGAGACCCTAAAAAGAGCCATTTCAGTGGAATCAGCTCTATAAATCACACCACAGAACAACGTTTTTATTTTCATTATAATTGAGGTACAACTTATGTGCGATTCAGGGCGTAAGGCATAGTGGGTTAGAAAAGAGCCTTTATAGCCCGTTCACTTACATTGATTTGTTTTCCACTCAGGGGACCCAATGAGATGACGAGAAGGGGAGGAAACTTAGGCTGGGAATATATTATCCCAGTTTTAGTATGATAGCACTTCGCTAAAGGATTAATTTAAAAAACTTCTTAATTATAAGGCATTAGAAAAACCTCTAATCTCAGAATTTGTAAGCTACAAATAAAATCACATTATTATGGTTCAGCTTTGGATGTAGATCTGAACGTACCATTTTTAAAAAGCTTTTAGTAATCTAAAATGTTAATTTTATTGTTTACCTATTGTGGTGGTTTTACTGTTACACCATGCCTTGTAATGTCTATGACTTTAGTCTCCCAGTTGGGTGTAGGAAAGTGCTTTAAAAAGTAAATTGAACTCAATTGAATTGAGTCATAGAGGTGACTATTCCAAACATTTCCTCATACTAAAATAATTACAGGCTTTTAGAGTTGGTAGAATGATCAGCAAACAGAGAGGGAGTGTTCTAGAGGCATGTCAGCCTTATAACTCTATTGAATGTAAGCATTCTCAGTCTTTGTGTAGAGTCGCTCACCATGTTGCTCTCAGTGCTGCTGCTGCTACTGCTGGTGGTGGTTCTGGTCAGCAGGACTCAAGCTGGTTTGAATGGTTTTGTCTTCATCTACACTGCTCAGGGCCCTCTGGGAAATGGATTCTATGTAAGTAGGTTTTCTAGTTTGTGTTTGCCTTTTAAATGTCAGTTCTCAACATTCCTTTGCTTTTTAAACTACAGACAATCGAAAAGCAGAAGTGGAGCTTTAGTTCATGTGAGGAAGTTGATTCCATGGTTTGCGGCAACAGCTGTGATTCCCTGGGATCCCTTTACGGGAAGGTGGAGGAAAGCAGCGGAGAATGGTGCCAGAAAGAGAGAGTCACCTATGGACAGGATGGCTATGCCCTCGCCAAACAGTACAGGTGAGTTCACATCAATGTTACGCAGAAATTGAGCTTTTTAGTTGTAGCTGCAGTGTGATCAACACATGGACTGTACAGCTGCATTAAATCAACTAAAATTCGGCATTTTCTGAATTTTTAGTTTTGTTGTTGTTGTTGTTGTTACTTTAAAATTATCATCTTGTTGGGCTACAGAGATCCACACACACATGCCGCCATGCACGAGACTCTGAGAAGCATCTGAAACCTTTATTGACTTTCACTACAGTTGGTCTAATAGAAGCTGGACTGACAACAGAAACGGCGTCGTAGCGTTCAGAGCCCAGGCTCTGATAGACCCGAGGAAGCGATCTGACACTGGAAACGTCAACTCCTCACCCCAGACCACCATCATCCCAGTTGTCAGGTAAGATCTGCATTCTTTTACGTCAGATTTGAAAATATAATTTGCACAGATTTTGTGTTTATTTAAAGTTAAATGGATCTGTTTCACTTTATTCATCATTAGAGATAAAGATAAATGACCTACATTTGTATAGCTTCGTTCTGAATCAGAGGACTCCAAAGTGCCTTACAGTACAATCATTCACACACACATTCCCACACTGGTGGTGATGAGCTATATCGTAGCCCCGGCTGCCCTGGGGCGCACTGACAGACACAAGGCTGCCGAGAATCATCACTAAGTTTTCATTGACATTAGGGAGTTTGGAAGATGTTTAAAAACGTCGGTTGTAGGTGAGGAGCACTAAGGTTTCACAGTAGAAACAGAAAAAGTTGGAAGAAAGAATTCGTGAGTCAGAGTATTCTCTTTGAATAATAGAGATAATAATTTAATAGAGCAATCACACGCCTACATTTACCATAAGTCATTCCCAGAATCAACAATGAGTGACAAAGAACCAAAGAATTCCAGTAATTTAGTAGAGCCAGTTGGTCAAGCTGGAAATTTCATCTGAGTTGAAAGCATATCAACAGCTGTGCTCCATCCTCTTTCATTCAGAGTTCCTTCAAACTGTCAGAGTGACATCAACTTATTGAATTTCGACCCTGATGGAGACGAGGTTAAATGCAGATATGCAAATGGTTCTCTGTCAGAGTGTGATGCTTGCACACCTCCGTCTGTCCTTAGCCTCTCGTCGGTGAGTAACAAACATCAGTGATGGCTGTGGAGCTAGACTGGGTGACTCACTGACTTTTCTCTTTCCTGGTTTAGTCTTGTATTCTGTCATTCAGCCCGACTTCCAGCAGTGATGAAGGTTCCTACGCCGTCCAGATGATGATGGAGGACTCTCCTAGAAAGACGATTACCCTGACCAACCCTGATGGCTCCCAGGCAGACAAAACTACCAGTGACATAATCAACAGCATACCTGTTCAGTTTGTTTTGAAAGGTGCCTTGGGTGCTGAAATTTGAAATATAATTGTCTGCTTCTTGCGATCTGAAAAGCGTCTGTCTAATGAGAGAGTTTATGTGCTAATCTTAATCCTTTGTAGATTATCTTTACAAATTATCATCAAATCACTTCTGACCATACAATTCCAAATGGAGCATCAGGATTAGAGCCTTCATCGGAAGTTTGCCGTTACCATTTACATGTAGTAGAGGATCAACAGGTGGCAAGGGCTAGTACTGCTAGTACTGCTACTACTACTACTTTACGTCTTCTACTACTACTAGTAGTACTACTGCTACTACTACTGGTGCTATTACCGCTCCTGCTACTCCTACTGCTGTTTTCTACTAATACTACAACTACTACTACTACTGTTGCTACTATTACTACTACTACTACTTCAACAACTACTACTTCAACAACTACTACTACTACTACTGCTGCTGCTGCTACTGCTGCTGCTGATGATAATACTACTACTACTACTGCTGCTGCTGCTTATGATGATGATGATGATGATGAAGATGGTGGATGATGATGATACTACTACTGCTGCTGCTGCTGCTGATGATGATGGATGATGATGATGATACTGCTGCTGCTGATGATGATGATGATACTACTACTGCAACTACTACCACTACTACTGCTGCTGCTGATGATGATGATGATGATGATGATGATACTACTACTACTGCTACTAATGATGATACTACTACTACTACTACTGCTGCTGCTGATACTACTACTACTACTGCTGCTGCTGCTGCTGATTATGATGATGATACTGCTGCTGCTGATGATGACGATGATGATGATGATACTACTACTGCTGCAACTACTACTACTTCTATTACTGCTGATGATGATGATGATACTACTACTACTGCTGCTACTAATGATGATACTACTGCTACTACTACTGCTGCTGCTGCTGATTATGATGATGATACTGCTGCTGCTGCTGATGATGATGATAATGATGATACTACTACTGCTGCTGCTGCTGCTGATTATGATGATGATGATAATGATGATGATACTGCTGCTGATGATGATGATGATACTACTACTGCTGCTGCTGCTGCTGATTATGATGATGATGATGATGATGATGATACTGCTGCTGATGATGATTATGATGATGATACTGCTGCTGCTGATGATTATGATGATGATACTGCTGCTGCTGCTGCTGATGATGATGATACTACTACTGCTGATGATGATTATGATGATGATGATACTGCTGCTGCTGCTGCTGCTGATGATGATGATGATGATACTACTACTACTACTGCTGCTGCTGCTGATTATGATGATGATACTGCTGCTGCTGCTGCTGCTGCTGCTGATGATGATGATGATAATGATGATACTACTACTGCTGCTGCTGATTATGATGATGATGATGATACTGCTGCTGATGATGATTATGATGATGATACTGCTGCTGCTGCTGCTGTTGATGATGATACTACTACTGCTGCTGCTGCTGCTGATTATGATGATGATTATGATGATGATACTGCTGCTGCTGCTGCTGCTGATGATGATTATGATGATGATTATGATGATGATACTGCTGCTGCTGCTGCTGCTGATTATGATGATGATTATGATGATGATACTACTGCTGCTGCTGCTGCTGCTGCTGATGATGATGATGATGATACTACTACTGCTGCTGCTGCTGCTGATGATGATGATGATGATGATGACGATGATGATGATGATGATACTGCTGCTGCTGCTGCCTCCGCCGCCGATGATGATGATGATGATGATGATACTACTACTGCTGATAATGACGATGATACTGCTGCTGCTGCTGCTGCTACTACTACCGATGATGATGATACTACTACTACTACTACTACTACTTCTACTACTACTACTGCTGCTGACTATGAGGATGATGATACTACTACTAATACTACAACTACTGCTGCGTCTGCTGCTTATGATGATACTAAAACTACTACTACTACTACTGCTGCTGCTCCGGCTGCTGCTGCTGCTGATAATGATGATGATACCATACCATACCATGTCTATCCATATAGCACATTTAAAAACAGCATGGCAGCTGATTAAAGTGCTGTACAGTAAAAAGGACAAACCCCAAGATAAAAACAGATAAAAGTCATAGAGGAGGTAAGAGGTAAAATCTAAAAAATTGTTTTAGAAACATACATCAATAAAATACAGAGTCACAATAAAACGTAAAAACACTAAAAGCTAGATCATTGAATAAAAGCTAAATGATAGAAGGCCTCAGTACCGACTTAAATCGACCCAGTTCTGAGGCCTGTCGAACAGTAAGGGGGAGAGCATTCCAGAGTTTAGGAGCAGTGAACGCCAAGGCCCGCTCTCCACGAGATTTATACCTCATTTTCGGGACTTACAAAAGCAAATGATTTGCAGATCTCAGGTTTCTGGTTGGAGAATAAGGCTTTGTCAGTTCTGAAAGATAAGCCGGGGCTTGACCATTCAGAATATTGTAGACAAAGGTCAAAATATTAAATTGGATGGGGTATTTAACAGGCAGCCAGTGCAAGCGTGCAAGGACGGGTGAAATGTGACAGCGTCTAAAGGTGTTTGTCAGGAGACTAGCCGCCGCATTTTGCACTCTCTGTAGACGCTCGATTGCTGAGGCGCTGACACCAACAAGTAGTGAGTTGGCATAGTCTAAACGTGTAGTTGCAAAGCCGTGAACAACAGACTCCAGTTGAGGTCGTTTGACTATTGACTTTAAGTGTGAGATGCAACGTAGTTGAAAAAAAGCATGACCGGACTGTAGAGTGAATTTGTGAACTCATTAACAGATCAGAGTCAAGTTTCACTCCCAGACTGGATTCACAGGATTTAAGATTAAAAAACGGTAGAGGGTAGTCACCAGGTGCATGCTTTGGATTTATTGGATTAAAAAGAATGTCGTCGGTCTTGTTTTCGTTAAGTCAAAGGAAGTTCTCTGACAGCCAGCCTTTAACTGCAGTAATACAGTCGACAAGGAGGCGTGTTGTCAGGTTTACTTAAAGCCAGTTAAATCTGGCGATCGTCCGCGTAAAGGTGATAAATTATTCCAAGGTTTGTCAGAATCATCCCCAATGGGAATAAGTAAATCTAGAATAGGAGTGGCCCTAGAATCGAACCCTGAGGCACACCCCAGTGAAGTGGAGTAGATGGAGAGGAAAAGCTGTCAATGTGAACACTAAATTGTCTATCTGACAAATATGATCTGAACCAATGAAGTGGGATCCCTGTTACCCCCAACCTCATCTCCAACCTCCTAAGTAGGGTGTCATGGTCCACTGTGTCGAAGGCAGCAGAGAGGTCCAGGAGTAACAGAAGGACATGGGAACCAGAATCAGTTGCCACCAGGATATCCTTTAATACACAAAGATGTGCCGTTTCTGTGCTGTGGTGAGGTCTAAAGCCAGACTGAAAGTGATCGAGGAGGCTATGATGTCCTACATAACTGGAAAGTTGAGTGTGAACTACTTTCTCAATAATCTTGGATAAAAACGAGAGTATGGAAATCAGACGATAATTAGAAAAATCGGTATGATCCAGGCCAGGTTTTTTCAGTAAAGGATGTACAACTGCATTGTTAAAGGTGGTTGGAAACACTCCAGTCGAAATGCTGTTGTTGACGATTTCCAGAATAAATGGCGCCAGCACAGGAAGAGCCCCAACTAGTAGTTTTGGTGGGAGGGGGTCCTCTGGAGAACCAGAGGGTTTCATGGACCTGACCAGCTCCTCCAGATCATGAAGAGACAACAGTGTAAAATTAGAAAATTGACTTAGACAGACTGGTTCCTCAATGGTGGGCTGACCCGATGGCAAGATGCTTGACCTAATATTCTGAATTTTAAGCTGAAAAGTTCATAAACTCGGTGCAAAGGGACGTCGTTGGCACTGAGGGTGTAGTTGCATCTTTTAAAGAGAGAACCAAATTAATGGTACTAAATAGTTTACGTTGATCACCAAGTTGTGTTGTGATTATATTACTAAAGTACTTATTTCTGGCTGTTCTCACTGCTTTCTGATACAAAAATAGAGAATCTTTCAACATTTGTAAGGAAATTTCTAAATTGTCCTTTTTCCATTTGGTTCATGAGATCTACACTGGCGTCGAAGAGCTTGAGTGTTGTCATTAAGCCAGGGATCAGAAACAATTTTTTTTTCTCCGGCTTTTAAGAGGTGCAGCAGAGCTAAGAGCAGCCGAGCACACAGTATTGAAGGTGGTCACCATATCATCCACTTCCATGAATTTAGACCTGGGTGAAATGGTTGAGAAGCCATCTGCCAGACCAGATGATAACAGAGTGAGAGTAGATGGCAAAATACACCTGACGTAATGACGTGCTTGATGTCTTACAGAAGGTGTCAAATCATAGGTACTGAAAATAATTGGAAAATGATCTGAAAAACAAACCGGGTTCACTGAAAAATCAGAAACTGAAATTCCAATAGATAAAACTAAGTCCAGGATGTGAGAGCGATCATGGGTAGACTCCTTAACCAGTTGCTGGAGGCCAAAAGAGTCCAAAATTTCCATGAATTCCCTCACCAAAGGCTTTGCAGGACAACAAATGTGAATATTAAAATAGCCAAGGATAATCACTTGATCATATTTCGGAAGAAAGTCTGCTAAGATGTCAGAAAATTCATTTAAAAAGTTAGAATTGTACTTTGGTGGGTGGTAACAAAGTAAGAACAGCACTGGGGAGCTAAAATCCAGCTCAAAAAGTGATAATTCAAAGCTACTAGGAGTCAGAGGCCGAGAGTTGTTTCAGGTGGAGGGAAGAATCAAACAAAGTTAGCAGACCCCCACCACGACCGGAAAGTCTAGGCACGTTGAGCACTGAACTGTCCGAAGGACAAAGTTCTAAGAGAGCAGCCGACTCACCAGGCGCGACCCAGGACTCTGTCATGCAGAACAGGTTTAGCTTGTGATCGACAAAATAATCCTTTAAAATTGCTGTTTTATTTCCAATTGAACGTATGTTCTGGAGAGCAACCCTAAGGAGTGGTGCGGGCACCAAGCAGTTTGATTGGAAGGACGGGTCAGCATCGTCCAGCATTGGGTAGCTCAGGTTAGCAGAGTTAACACCGCCACCACGCCACCGCCTCCAGACACGCCTGACGCGCCGGCCCGCACAGACTGCAATCCACTCGCTGATGTCCCTGGAAGAGAAGGATGAGGGACTCCATGGATGATCCAAAAGCTGCAGCGGGTCCGCTCTCCAAGGCCGGAATGCAAGAGTGGCCCTAAGCCTTGCTCGGTGCCCCCCTCGCTTGCCCCGTCTGCGATGTCACCTTCGCAGCCACTCTGGAGACTGTGGGTGGAGGAGGAATGCCAGGACCGCAGCAAACAGAGGGATGAGTTTTCCCAAACCTACTACCTCGGAGATCTACGGAACTCAATGTCTGACGAAGATCCAGAAGAGCGAGTCAATCATAGGTAATACTCGAACTAGAGACCACCAGCAGACAGCTTGGGAACAGAAAAAACAACAAAATAAGCAGGAAGAGTAGACAGCAAGCCAAAATCACAGGCGCCATCATGAATGATGATGATACTACTACTACTACTACTGCTGCTGATGATGATACTACTCCTACTACTGCTGATGATGATACTACCACTAATACTGCTGCGGATGATGATGATACTACTACTACTACTACTGCTGCTGCTGATGATACTACTCCTACTACTGCTGATGATGATACTACCACTAATACTGCTGCGGATGATGATGATACTACTACTACTACTGCTACTGCTACTGCTGCTGCTGCTGATGATGATGATGATGATGATGCCCATGATGATGCTGCTGCTGCCGATGATGATGATGATGATGATGATGATGTGATAATGATGATGATGATACTACTACTACTGCTGCTACTACTACTGCTGATGATGATGATGATACTACTACTACTACTGCTGATGATGATGATACTACCACTAATACTACTGCGGATGATGATGATACTACTACTACTACTGCTACTGCTACTGCTGCTGCTGCTGCTGATGATGATGATGATGATGCCCATGATGATGCTGCTGCTGCCGATGATGATGATGATGATGATGATGATGTGATAATGATGATGATGATACTACTACTACTGCTGCTACTACTACTGCTGATGATGCTGATGATACTACTACTACTACTGCTGATGCTGATGATACTACTACTACTACTGCTGATGATGATGATACTACCACTAATACTGCTGCAGATGATGATGATACTACTACTACTACTGCTACTGCTGCCGCTGACGATGAGGAGGATGATACTACAACTGCTGCTGCTGCTGCTGCTGCTGCTGCTGCTGCTGATGATGATGATACTAATATTACTAATACTGCTGCTGATGATGATGGTGATGATACTGCTACTACTACTACTACTGCTGCTACAACTGCTGCCGCTGCTGCTACTACTGCTACTGATGATGATGATTCTACCAATAATACAGATGCTGATGATGTTGATACTACTACTACTACTGCTGATGATATTACTACTACTACTACTACTACTTCTGCTGCTGCTGCTGATGCTACTACTACTACTACTGCCGACGATGAGGATGATACTTCTACTACTACTACTGCTGCTGCTGCTGCTGATGATGATGATGATGACATTACCACAGTACGGCTGCTGCTGCAGCTACTGCTGATGATGATGATGATACTACTACTGCTACTACTACTGCTGCTGCTGATGATGATACTACTACTGCTACTACTACTGATGATGATAATGATATTACTACTGCTACTACTGCTGCTGCTGATGATGATACTACTACTACTACTGCTGCTGCTGCTGCTGATGATGATGATGATGATGATACTACTACTACTACTGCTTATGATGATGATGATGATACTGCTGCTGCTGATGATGATACTACTACTACTGCTGATGATGATGATGATGATGATACTACTGCTACTACTGCTGCTGATGATGATGATGATACTACTACTACTACTGCTGCTGCTGATGATGATGATGATACTATTAGTACTACTGCTGATGATGATGATGATGATACTGCTGCTGCTGATGATGATACTACTACTACTACTGCTGCTGCTGCTGCTGCTGCTGATGATGATGATGATGATGATGATACTGCTGCTACCACTGCTGCTGCTGCTGCTGCTGCTGATGATGATGATGATACTACTACTACTACTGCTGCTGCAGATGATGATACTACTACTACTACTGCTGTTGCTGATTTTGATGCTACTACTACTGCTGCTGCTACTACTGCTGCTGCAGATGATGATACTACTACTACTACTGCTGTTGCTGATTTTGATGCTACTACTACTGCTGCTGCTGATGCTGATACTACTATTATTGCTGCTGATGATTATGATGATGACACTACTACTGCTGCTGCTACTACTGCTGCTGATGATGATGATACTACTACTACTGCTGCTGCTGCTACTACTGCTGCTGCCGATGATGATACTACTACTACTACTGCTGTTGCTGATTTTGATGCTACTACTACTGCTGCTGCTACTACTACTGCTGCTGCTGGTGCTGATACTACTAAAACTGCTGCTGCTGCTGATACTACTACTACTGCTGCTGCTGCTGATACTACTACTACTACTGCTGCTGCTGCTGCTGATACTACTACTACTGCTGCTGCTGCTGATACTACTACTACTGCTGCTGATAATGATGATGATACTACTACTGCTACTACTGCTGCTGATAATGATGATACTACTACTACTGCTGCTGCTGCTGATAGTACTACTACTACTACTGCTACTGCTGCTGCTGCTGCTGCTGCTGCTGCTGATGATGATGATGATGATGATGATGATGATGATACAACTACTGCTGCTGCTACTATTGCTGCTGATAATGATGATACTACTACTACTGCTGCTGCTGCTGATAGTACTACTACTACTACTACTACTACTACTGCTGCTGCTGCTGCTGCTGATGATGAAGATACAACTACTGCTGCTGCTACTACTGCTGCTGATAATGATGCTACTACTACTGCTGTTGCTGATTATGATGCTACTACTACTGCTGTTGCTGATTATGATGCTACTACTACTGCTGCTGCTGATGATGATACTACTACTACTACTACTGCTGCTGCTACTACTACTGCTGTTGCTGATTATGATGCTACTACTACTGCTGCTGATGATGATGATACTACTACTACTACTGCTGTTGCTGATTGTGATACTACTACTACTGCTGCTGTTACTACTACTTCAACTACTACTACTAACACTGCTACTACTGATGTTATTGCTGTAATTATTACTACTACTACTGTGACTATGTCTATGACTATGACATCTACTACTACTGCTAGTAGTCCTACTGATTTTGCTTCTACTTGTATTACTACTGCTACTGTGACTACTACTAGTGTTACTATTTCTATATGTGTATGTTATATATATATATATATATATATATATAATTTATATAGAAATATTTATGTTGAAACATGTTAATAATTTCCACCTAATGTAAAAGTAGTACAGTAGTACTACTAGTAGCAGTACTACAAAAGCAGTAGTACTACTAGTAGTACTACTGCTTTTGCTTCTACTTGTATTACTACTGCGACTACTACTGCTGCTACTATTTCTAAATAGATAGATAGATAGATATTTTTATTCGGTCAACAACAACAATTTATCAATTTTACATAAAAGTAATCAAGCAACCGAAAAAAGGAATAGGTTGAAGCCTAGTGGCTTATAATTAGCCTATCCTTAACTCCCACAGACATAATCAAATCCTTAACCAAGGCTGATAGCTAAGGTGCATAACATTTAAAGAAAAAGCAATGATAAATCAAAAAATCAAATCAACACAAGGTTGGACATCAAACTAAGTTTCTATAACTTTGGAAGATGCAATTTTTTAAATTTTTCTTGAAAAACGACAAAGAATAACACATCTTCAGTTCATCATTAAGTTACTTCGCATTAGTTCTCACTTTAGGTATTTCAAACATATAAGACCCCCTCAAATCATATGGTCCATCTCTTAATTTAAACATACTTAAAATACAAATTGGAACATCCTTTTTCACCACTCTCTACATCATTTCTAAAGTTTTAAGATATATAATGTCCTTAAATTTTAACATAGCTGATCCTACGAAAAATTGGTTTGTGGACTCCCTATATCCAGCTTTATTTATTATTCTAATAGCTCTTTTTTGCAATTTAAAAATTGAATCCAGATATGTTTTGTATGTTTTCCCCCAAATTTCCACACAATAACTCATATAAGGCAAGCAAAGGGAAGTGTACAATAAATAAAGGCAGCTCTTGTGCAATAAATCTCTTGTTTTATAAAGAATAGAAATAGACTTAGATAATTTCCGTTTCACGTAAATGTAGAAATAGTATATATATATATATATATATATATATATATATATATATATATCTTTATTATTTATATAGAAATATTTATTATTTATATAGAAATATTTCTTTATTATTTATATAGAAATATTTATGTTGAAATATGTTAATTTCCACCTAATGTAAAAGTAGTCATCCATATAAACATTGAAATTCAGACTGATTTGAGTTGATTGATTTGTTCACATGTTCACATCATCATGTTTGAGTTTTTACTTTCCTGTGTTTATCCAGTTGATGCTGCAGTACCGTCCTGCTCTGAAGGTCTCTATCTACCCAGATTTCTGCCTCCAACTCCAGAAAACGGAGCTCAGATCATCGCTGCCGTTAATCAGACTTTGGAAATCGCCATCAGAGCAGAAGCAACTCAGTCCGTGTAAGAGGAAGTAAAACTCATTTCAGGGAAAGCTGACAGTGATTTATTCCAAACCAGTTTATCGTAAATAAATGTCAGCTGAAGGAATGTCTGCAGCTGTCAGTGAATCGTTAGATAAAGATTTGATGAAAGAAAACAGCTGAAGTCAGATTAAACTGGAATGTGATCAATTTGGCATTTCTCGTTTTTGAAGGATCACTGGGCTGCTGTTCACTGACAGTGACAGTGATTTATTCCAAACCAGTTGATCGTAAATTTGCATAAACAAATGTGTTGACATTATCTTTTGAGTTACTTGACTCCAGCACAGTCAGGACTAACAAAATTAGGAGAAAAGACGGCACAATATTGACGTCAGCTGAAAGAATGTCTGCAGCTGTCAGTGAATCATTAGATAAAGATTTGATGAAAGACAACAGCTGAAGTCAGATTAAACTGGAATGTGATCAATTTGGCATTTCTCATTTTTAAAGGATCACTGAGCTGTTGTTCAGTGGGCCTTATGATGTGGTAAAAAGTACATCGGGATCTGGAAATTTCACACTGAGTTGGACGCCTAATGACTTTGATGGAGGACAAAGCCACCCCATCTGTTTTATCATACAGGCAAAGTGAGTTTATTTTATTTTTTCCTCATCCTTTATCAAAATGTAGAGATATTAACTGGAAGTGCTGAGTGAAAAAAATAAAGATGTTATATGTAAATTTACATTGACTGGTTATGCTAATGCTGTCTTGTACATTTGGTACATTTCTTTGGATTGTGATAGAACAGTATGTTGTTCTTTTCTGAAGGCACTTAAGCTCCCTATCAGTTTGTGAACAGGTTTTGTGTTTTGGCTTAAGTTTTGTTAGGTCAGTGAATGCACCACAGCAGCTAGAATGTGTTCATTTTTTTAGTTCTTGTTGTCTCAGCTCCAGAGGTGGAAAGTAACGAATTACATTTACTCACGTTGCTGTAATTGAGTAGCTTTTTTGTAAATTTATACTTTTTAAGTCGTTTTTAAAATCTGTACTTTTACTTTTACTTGAGTAAGTTTTTAAAAAAGAATTGTAATTCGCTACATTTTAAATCATATCCGTTACTGAGTAAAAATAAATTGTAGGCTTAATAAATTAAAAATATTACGTGTAGCAGCGTCGGAACAGAAAGAGACACCTGCATGAGCGCCACGTCTAAACCGGGGAGGGGGGGGGGCTACACGCTTTATGATGAGGACGAACAGCCATTTTTACCGCATTTTTGCTCAAAAACATCAGTACAGTCCCTGTGATCCACTCGCTGTTTACCTCCTCTCTCCCTCCTCTCCTGTGGGCTGGAACCCGCACCTTCGCGCACCGGTGTGACGTCATCAGAATTCTGCTCGGTTCGGCAACCAGACTCGGTTCCGTGTTTGAAATGTGTTTCCTTACCGCGCACGGAAGCGGCAAAATAACGTTTAGCGCTCCTAAGAAGCCGATTATCAGCGCTCTGCTCATAAAACAGAAGACCTGCAGCCTCTGTGAGTTAATCCTGATACTATTCAGGTGTAAACATTGTGCTCCATCCCTGTGTTTGAACTCAGAAGATGCATATTGATGCCACAGATATGTGATGATTTAGCTTGTTTCTTTATTTTACTCCAGAATAAGAGATTAAATTATTACAAAAGCAGTTCAGTGTAGTTAAATTAGTCATTCAAAAGATTCTAACATGCTGCTGGTGTGTGTGTGTGTGTGTGTGTGTGTGTGTGTGTGTGTGTGTGTGTGTGTGTGTGTGTGTGTGTGTGTGTGTGTGTGTGTGTGCAACCAGTTTGCCCTGCTTGTTATCAGAAACTGCACTGATCCTGCTGCTGTTTTGTAGACCAGTTCCTAAATGATTATTTAAATAACCCAGTGTTTGTGGTAGTGTACATTACTATTGTATATTTACCTTTGAATTAAATGTATTTGTTCACATTTATGAAATCTATATTTTGCTGTAAAAACTGCATTTAAAGGCATGAAAATGCTGTTTCTCTGCGCGCGTGTGTGTGTGTGTGTGTGTGTGTGTGTGTGTGTGTGTGTGTGTGTGTTTGTGTGTGTGTGTGTGTGTGTATCTTTGTTCATTTTTATCTCTCTAGTCTGTTTAGGTAAACAAAAATGATCACATTTATCAATCAGTGTTTTATTTCATTATTTTGTTAAAATTACGGCACACCTCTTCTGTTTTGATTTGTCGTCCTGCCAGAACGAAAACTCGCGGAAAAATTAGAGCTCATGCTAAAATGATCGCTGCATAGAGTGAGCCTACACTGCACTTTGCAGCTGATGTGACCGAGAGCGTATAAGGCTCCAAATAGAACTGCTTGTCGTTCCATGGTGCTTCGCGGCGTATCGTCGCTCTTCCGCATCTGGTGTGTTCCGTGCGTTAGCAAGTGAGGTTAGTTTGAACTTTTATACTTCTCAAATTTTCACGAGGATCTTCCCATTATAAAATAGAGCCAAGATTTCTTAGCAGTTTCCAAATTAGTGAGACGTAGATCACGAAATTTTATTGTCAATATTTAAAAATGACTTGCACTTGTAAAGCACCTTTTTGAGTTAATGGACTCCAAGGTGATTTACACTACAGTGTATCATTCAACCTGGCATAGCATTCATTAGCTGGTGAAGTCCAGACATTAGGCCCACTGATAATCTTCAGAATATGCTAAAGAACACTGGATGGAGCAGTTTAAGACCGCAAGAGTTAACATAAGAGCTCAGTGAAAATTGAAAATATTAATGTTGTTTTAATTTAGTAATTATAATGTAGAAATTCAAGAAATGCATACTTTTCCAAAATCTTCTCAGACAATAAAAATAACCCTAAAATTCTTTTCTCCACAATCAATACTATTCTCAACTCCAACCAAAACTCAACTCAGAAAACCCTCTCAAACACTCTTTGTGAGGAGTTTGCAGCCCGCTTCAGAGGGAAGGTAGACACCATCAGATGTAACATTTTATCCTCTCAACATAACATGGTTTTAGACACATCTGAAAGTGTGTGTCTACCTGAGGAAACACTGGACAGTTTTGTCCTGGTTGAAGCTGAGAGTCTTGATAAATTTTTCTCCTCAGTGAGACCCACCACATGTGTCCTGGACCCTATTCCCACTAGGTTTTTTAAACAATCTTATGATTCTTTTAAAGATGAGGTTTTAACTATGATGAATTGCTCCCTTCAGACGGGGGTTTTTCCTGTCGCTTTTAAATGGGCGGTGGTGAGGCCCCTGCTGAAGAAGAGAAATTTAGATTTTAATGACTTAAACAAATATCGACCGGTATCCAACTTGCCATTTTTAAGCAAAATTTTAGAAAAGCTTGTTTTAATCCAACTCAATGATTTTATCAACACCCATAATGTTTTTGAAAAATTTCAGTCTGGTTTTAGGGTGACCCACAGCACCGAGACAGCCCTTCTGAAGATTTTAAACGATTTTAGAGTAAATTATGACAAACGGAAGGTGACTGTGTTGGTTCTACTGGATCTAAGTGCTGCCTTTGATACAGTAGACCACACTATTCTTTTAACTCATTTGAAACGGATCAGCCTCTCTGGTGCTGTTCACCAATGGTTCACATCCTACCTCAAAGACAAGACTTTCATTGTGAGTTTGGATACCTGTTTCTGTAGGGTTCATGGGATTACATGTGGTGTGCCCCAGGGTTCAATTTTAGGCCCAGTGCTTTTTAACCTTTATATGCTCCCTCTTGGCAGTGTCATCAGGAGACACAGGGTGAATTTCCACAGTTACACTGATGATACGCAGCTGTACATCTGTGCATTTTTACATTTTTGACATCAAATCCTGGATGGCAGAAAACTTTCTCCAGCTCAACCAGGACAAAATTTAAGTTTTAGTTATCAGTCCTGAGGCCCAGAGAGAGAAGCTTTAACCAAAATTACAATCACTGTCTCTTAATCCATCTTCACAAGTGAAGAACCTTTGACTCTGAGCTGACTTTTATCCATCATATTAAAAATATCACCAAAATAGGTTTTTATCATCTGAAGAACATCGCCAGAATCCGCCCCATTCTCTCTCGGGCCAATACGGAGACGCTGAAGCATGATTTTATCACCAGTAGACTAGACTACTGCAATGACCTGCTTTCTGGTCTTCCTAAAAAGAGGATTTCATGTTTACAACTATTACAAAACTCAGCAGCACATGTTCTGACGAAGACTAGGAGGCGGGAGCACATTACTCCAGTTTTAGAATCACTACATTGGCTCCCCATATGTTTCAGGATCGATTTCAAAATACTTTTAACGGTTTTTAAGTGTCTTAATGGTCTTGGGCCTTCTTATCTTTCAGAACTGCTTTTACCATAAGAACCTACGCAGTCTCTGTGCTCCTCTGGCAGCAGTCTCCTTGTCATCCCTAAAGTTAGGACGCATATTCATGGCAAGGTGTCATTCCAGTACTACGGTCCTCGCCTCTGGAACGAACTGCCAGGGGACGTCAGGGCTGCTGAGAACGTTCAGGTTTTTAGAAACAGGCTCAAGACTCATCTTTTTAGATTAGCTTTTAACTGAATACTCTCACTTTTTAAATTAATTAATGACTTAGTTTACTTATTTATTTTATCTATTTATTTTATTTATTTAATGTATTCTTTCTTTATACACGCTTTTTAAACAGTTTTAACCTTGATTTATGATCAACATTATTTTAATATCTATATAACTTTTTATATTACAATTCTCATTTTAGCTCTTTGGACTTTATATTTTAACCTTAATCTAAACTTTTTTCAGTACTTCCTCTGTGGGAGCCCTCTGCCCCGGCGGCGGTAGTCAACTGAGGCGGCCTGGGTGCTTTCTAGGTGTGCCTGGGTGGTGGTGGGGGTCTCTGCCCTCCCTGCCTTGGGCGCCCAATGTTGCTGTGGATCTGCTGCTGTCGGGTTGGATGGCTCCCGGGATGGCGTTTCCTTATCCTTAGCTGGTCTGGCTCATCTGATCTCAGCCAATCGTGTTTTTTTTTTACCATGGGGAATGGTGTGTGTGTGTGTGTGTGTGTGTGTGTGTGTGTGTGTGTGTGTGTGTGTGTGTGTGTGTGTGTGTGTGTGTGTGTGTGTGTGTGTGTGTGTGTGTGTGTGTGTGTGTGTGTGTGTGTGTGTGTGTGCGTGTGTGTGCGTGCGTGCGTGCGTGCGTGCGTGCGTGCGTGCGTGCGTGCGTGCGTGCGTGCGTGCGTGCGTGCGTGCGTGCGTGCGTGTGTGTGTGTGTGTGTGTGTGTGTGTGCGTGTGTGTGTGTGCGTGTGTGTGAGTGCGTGTGTGTGAGTGCGTGTGTGTGAGTGCGTGCGTGCGTGCGCGCTCGTCGGTGGAGGAGTGTTGTGAAGGGGTTCTTATTGTCAGACTGTTTTTAAAAATCTGGGGATGGGAGGGAATGTGGGTATGTGGCGCATTTTTGATTTGATAAGCACTTTGAGTTTCATGTATTGTAGGAATAAGTGCTCTATAAATAAAGTTGATTGATTGATTGCTTAATTTATTCCCACAACTACTCCAGTTCTGTGTACCAGTCGGCACTTCGATGTGTTGTGGTGACTGCTGAAACCAGTGAGTGTAAATCTTCGTGGATTTTTATTTCAGTTATAAAATAAAATCATTCCTGAACTGTTAACGTCACAGATGTCCAGATCTGTTCTGTTCACAGGCGCTCCTGTCACCACAACTTTCCCCACAACAACCACAGTCGATCCTATCACCACAGCTCCCCCACAACAGACTATCCTGTCAGCACAGCTACCCCCCACAACAGACTATCCTATCACCACAGCTCCCCCCACATCAAAATATCTTATCACCACATCTACCGCCATAACAGTCTATCCGACCACCACAACTCCCCCCACAACGGACTATCCTACAACCACAACTCCCCCCACAACAGACTATCCTACCCCCACAACTCCCCCCACAACAGACTATCCTATCACCACAACTCCCCCCACAACAGATTATCCAATCACCACAACTCCCCCCACAACAGACTATCCTGTCACCACAGCTCCCCCCAACACAGACAATACTACCACCACAACTCCCCCAAAAATAGACTATCCTACCACCACAACTCCCCACACAACAGACTATCCTATCACCACTACTCCCCCCACATCAGAATATCCTATCACCACAGCTACCCCCACAACAGACTATCCTACCACCACAACTTCCCCCACAACAGACTATCCTATCACCACAGCTAACCCCACAACAGTCTATACTACCACCACAACTCTCACCACAAGAACCATAATCAGTCCTACCACCACATCTCCCCCCACAACATACTATCATACCCCCACAACAGACTATCAAACCACAAAAACTCCCCCAACAACAGACAATCCTACCACCACAACTCCCCCCAAAATAGACTATCCTACCACCACAACTCCCCACACAACAGACTATCCTATCACCACTACTCCCCCCACATCAGAATATCCTATCACCACAGCTACCCCCACAACAGACTATCCTACCACCACAACTTCCCCCACAACAGACTATCCTATCACCACAGCTAACCCCACAACAGTCTATACTACCACCACAACTCCCACAACTCTGACCACAAGAACCATAATCAGTCCTACCACCACATCTCCCCCCACAACATACTATCCTACCCCCACAACAGACTATCCTACCACAAAAACTCCCCCAACAACAGACAATCCTACCACCACAACTTCCCCCAAAATAGACTATCCTACCACCACAACTCCCCACACAACAGACTATCCTCCCACCACAACTCCCCCAACAACAGACTATCCTATCACCACTACTCCCCCCACATCAGAATATCCTATCACCACAGCTACCCCCACAACAGACTATCCTACCACCACAACTTCCCCCACAACAGACTATCCTACCACCACAACTTCCCCCACAACAGACTATCCTATCACCACAGCTAACCCCACAACAGTCTATACTACCACCACAACTCCCCCCACAACAGACTATCCTACCACAAAAACTCCCCCAACAACAGACTATCCTACCACCACAACTCCCCCCACAACAAACGATCCTCCCACCACAACTGCCCCCACAACAGTCTATACTTCCACCAAAACTCCCACAACAACAGTCTATACTACCACCAAAACTCCCACAACAACAGTCTATACTACCACCAAAACTCCCCCCACAACAGACTATCCTACCACCACAACTCCCCCAACAACAGACTATCCTACCACCACAACTCCCGCCACAACAGACTATCCTCCCACCACAACTGCCTCCACAACAGACTATCCTCCCACCACAACTGCCTCCACAACAGACTATCCTATCACCACAACTCCCACCACCCTAGTCTATACCACCCCCACAACTCCCCCCACAACAGACTATCCTACCACCACAACTCCCCTCACAACAGACTATCCTACTACCACAAGTCCCCCAACAACAGACTATCCTACCACCAAAACTCTCCCCACAACAGACTATCCTCCCACCACAACTGCCCCCACAAAAGACTATCCTACCACCACAACTCCCCCCACAACAGAATATCCTATCACCACAGCTACCCCCACAACAGTCTATACTACCACCAAAACTCCCACCACAACAGTCTCTACTACCACCAAAACTCCCACCACAAAAGTTTATCCTACCACCACAACTCTCACCACAAGAACCATAGTCAGTCCTATCACCACACCTCCCCCCACAACAGACTATCCTACCACTACAACTCCCATAACTCTCACCACAAGAACCATAGTAAGTCCGATCATCACAACTCCCCCTACAACAGTCTATACTACCACCATAACTGCCCCCACAACAGACTATCCTACCACCACAACTCCCCCCACAACAGAATATCCTATCACCACAGCTACCCCCACAACAGTCTATACTACCACCAAAACTCCCACCACAACAGTCTATACTACCACCAAAACTCCTACCACAACAGTCTATACAACCACCACAACTCCCCCCACAACAGACTATCCTACCACCACAACTCCCACCACGACAGACTATCCTCCCACCACAACTGCCCCCACAACAGACTATCCTATCACCAAAACTCCCACCACATTAGTCTATACCACCCCCACAACTCCCCCCACAACAGACTATCCTACCACCACAACTCCCCGGACAACAGACTATCCTACCACCACAACTCCCCCAACAACAGACTATCCTACCTCCACAACTCCCCCCACAACAGACTATCCTCCCACCACAATTGCCCCCACAACAGACTATCCTCCCACCACAACTGCCCCCACAACAGATTATCCTACAACCACAACTCCCCCCACAACAGAATATCCTATCACCACAGCTACCCCCACAACAGTCTATACTACCACCAAAGCTCCCACCATAACAGTCTATACTACCACCAAAACTTCCACCACAACAGTCTATACTACCACCACAAGACCCACAACTCTCAACACAAGAACGATAATCAGTCCTACCACCACAACTCCCCCCAGAACAGACTATCCTACCACCACAAGTCCCCCCACAACAGAATATCATATCACCACAGCTACCCCCACAACTGTCTATACTACCACCACAACTCCCACAACTCTCACCACAAGAACCATAGTCAGTCCTACCACCACAACTCCTCCCACAAAAAACTATCCTATCAACACCACTCTGCCCACAATAGACTATCCTATCACCACAGCTCACCCCACAACAGACTATCCTACCACCACAACTCCCCCCACAACAGATTATCCTATCACCACAACTCCCCCTACAACAGACTATACGATCACCACAGCTCCCGTCACAACAGACTATCCTATCACCACAGCTCCCCCCACATCAAAATATCATCTCACCACAGCTACCCCGACAACAGTCTATCCTACCACCACAACTTTCACCACAAGAACCATAATCAATCCTATCACCACACCTCCCCCCACAACAGACTATCCTACCACTACAACTCCCATAACTCTCACCACAAGAACCATAGTAAGTCCGATCATCACAGCTCCCCCCAAAACAGACTATACTACCACCACAACTCCCCCCTCAACAGACTATCCTACGACCACAGCTCCCCCCACAACAGACTATCCTATCACCACAACTCCCCCCACAGCAGATTATCCTATCACCACAGCTACCCCCACAACAGTCTATCCTACCACCACAACTCTCACCACAAGAACCATAGTCAGTCCTATCATCACAGCTCCCCCCACAACAGACTATCCTAGCACCACAACTCCCCCCACAACAGATTATCCTACCACCACAACTCCCCCCACAACAGAGTACCCTATCACCACAACTCCCCCCACAACAGACTATCCTATCACCACCACCACAGTTCCCCCCACAACAGAATATCCTACCACCACAACTCCCAGAACTCTCACCACAAGAGCCATGGTCAGTCCTATCATCACAGCTCCCCCCACAACAGACTATCCTACCACCACAACTCCCCCAACAACAGACTTTCCTATCACCACAACTCCCCCCACAACAGACTATCCTATCACCACAGCTACCCCCAAAACAGTCAATCTTACCACCACAACTCTCGCCACAAGAACCATAGTCAGTCCTATCATCACAGCTCCCCCCACAAAAGACTATACTATCACCACAACTCACCCCACAACAGAATATCCTATCACCACAGCTACCCCCACAACAGTCTATCCTACCATCACAACTCCCACAACTCTCACCACAAGAACCATAGTCAGTCCTATCATCACAGCTCCCCCTACAACAGTCTATCCAACCACCACAACTTTCACCACAAAAACCATAGTCAGTCCTATCACAGCTCCCCCTTCAACAGACTATCCTATCATGCTAGATACCCCCACAACAGTCTACCCTACCACCAAAACTCCCACAACTCTCACCACAAGAACCATAGTCAGTCCTATCATCACAGCTCCCCCCACAACAGATTATTCTACCACCACAACTTCCCCCACAGCAGAGTATCCTATCACCACAACTCCCCACAAAACAGACTATCCTATCACCACCACCACAGCTCTCCCCACAGCAGAATATCCTATCACCACAGCTACGCCCACAACAGTCTATCCTACCACCACAACTCTCCCCACAACAGTCTATCCTACCACCACAACTCCCACAACTCTCACCACAAGAACCATGGTCAGTCCTATCATCACAGCTCCCCCCACAACAGACTATCCTACCACCACAACTCTCCCCACAACAGTCTATCCTACCACCACAACTCCCACAACTCTCACCACAAGAACCATGGTCAGTCCTATCATCACAGCTCCCCCCACAACAGACTATCCTACCACCACAACTCCCCCAACAACAGACTATCCTATCACCACAACTCTCCCCAGAACAGACTATCCTATCACCACAGCTACCCCCACAACGGTCTATCCTACCACCACAACTCTCACAACTCTCACCACAAGAACCACAGTTAATCCTATCATCACAGCTCCCCCCACAACAGTCTATCCTACCACCACAACTCTCTCCACAAGAACCATAGTCAGTCCTATCATCACAGCTCCCCTCACAACAGACTATCCTACCACCACAACTCTCCCCACAAAAACCATAGTCAGTCCTATCATCACAGCTCCCCCCACAACAGACTATCCTTCCACCACAACTCTCCCCACAAAAACCATAGTCAGTCCCATGATCACAGCTCCCCCCACAAAAGACTATCCTATCACCACAACACCCCCCACAACAGAACATCCTATCACCACAGCTACCCCCACAACAGTCTATCCTACCATCACAACTCCCACAACTCTCACCACAAGAAACATAGTCAGTCCTATCATCACAGCTCCCCCCACAACAGTCTATCCAACCACCACAACTCTCACCACAAAAACCATAGTCAGTCCTATCATCACAGCTCCCCCCACAACGGATTATCCTATCACCACAACTCCCCCCACAACAGAATATCCTATCACCACCACCACAGCTCACCCCACAACAGAATATCCTATCACCATAGCTACACCAAAAACAGTCTATCCTACCACCACAACTCCCACAACTCTCACCACAAGAACCATGGTCAGTCCTATCATCACAGCTCCCCCCACAACAGACTATCCTACCACCAAAACTCCCCCAACAACAGACTATCCCATCACCACAACTCCCTCCACAACAGACTATCCTATCAGCACAGCTACCCCCACAACTGTCTATCCTACCAGCACAACTCTCACCACAAGAACCATAGTCAATCCTATCATCACAGCTCCCCCCACAACAGTCTATCCAACCACCACAACTCTCACCACAAGAACCATAGTCAGTCCTATCATCACAGCTCCCCCCACAACAGACTATCCTACCACCACAACTCTCCCCACAAAAAACATAGCCAGTCCTACCATCACACCTACCCCCACAACAGACTATCCTACCACCACAACTCCCACAACTCTCACCACAAGAACCATAGTCAGTCCTATGATCACAGCTCCCCCCACAACAGACTATCCAACCACCACAACTCCCCCCACAACAGACTATCCTACCACCAAAACTCCCCCAACAACAGACTATCCTACCACCACAACTCCCCTCACAGCAGACTATCCTCCCACCACAACTCCCACCACATCAGATTATCCTGTCTCCACAGCGACCCCCACAACAGTCTATCCTACCACCACAACACCCACAACTCTCACCATAAGAACCATAGTCAATCCTATGATCACAGCTCCCCCCACAACAGACTATCCAACCACCACAACTCCCCCCACAACAGACTATGCTACCACCACAACCCCCCACGCAACCGACTATCCTATCATCACAGCTCCCCCCACAACAGTCTATCCTACCAACACAACTCCCACAACTCTCACCACAAGAACCACAGTCAGTCCTATCATCACAGCTCCCCCCACAACCGACTATCCTACCACCACAACTCCCCCCACAGCACACAATCCTATCACCATAACTCCCCCCACAACAGAATATCCTATCACCACAGCTCCCCCCACAACAGAAAATCATATCACCACAGCTAGCCCCACAACAGTCTATCCTTTTACCACAACCCCTCCCACAACAAACATTTTTGGTCCTCCCACCACAAGAACCACAGCCACTACTACACCTACAGTTGCACCAACTACCATTACAACAACTACAACAATGTCTCCAACACCTGCCCCAGGACAAAGTACGTTTAGAACCTAGCTTGAGATTATTTTTCCAGTATGCTGATGTTTCGGTTTGCACCATAACTTTTAAAACCAAAACTATTCTGTTCTGCATTTTGAAGTTGATTTTCTGTGCTTGTAGATTATGTGATTGCTCTGAAAATGAAGATCTCTACTACACTTTCTCTGGACAACCAAAAGGAGACCATCGTTAAACTGGTCAGTAACCTTTTCACTGTAATAAAAACAAAATGTAAGCAGGTTGAACAAATGAAGCTGTTTTTTGTTTATTTAACATTGTCTTTTGCAACTTGGCTTGGATTGGATCATGGATGCCCAGGGTTGCCCAATACTTGTCCTGGAGGGGTGCTATCCTGTATGTTTGAGTTGTTTTTTATGCTCCATCACAATTCAGTGATTTGACGGCATATTCAGCAGGTCATCAAACTCCATAGAAGTCTTTTAAAAACTTGATTGTTAAAATTAGGTGTTTTGGAGCAAGATATTAACTAAAACATTTTAAATGATAAATAACTCACACTTGTATAGTGCCTTTCAGAGTCAGAGTACTCAAAGCGCTTAACACTACAATGGATCACTCATCCATTCACACGTTGATGGTGATCAGCTACATTGTAGCCACAGCTGCCCTGGGGCGCACTGACAGAGGTGAGGCTGCCAAACACAGGCACCATCAGTCCGTCTGACCACCACCAACAAGCAAGAAGGGTCAAGTGTCTTGCTCAAGGACAAAACAGCAGAATTCTCCCTCAAGAGCCAGGATCGAACCTGCACCCTTCCGATTACTGGACGACCCGCTCTACCTCCAGAGCAACTGCCGCCCCCAGCTATTGCTGGATAGTGGGCCTCCAGGGCTAGGATTCAGCCACACATATAGTAACATAACACATTTCAAGCTGAAAGACACTAATAAACACCTAGGAGCTGGCTGTAGATGTATTTAATTTGAACATGGCGACAATGGCAGAGGAGATCAGCTCCCCTCCCATAAATGAAGGGTTGCAGGTTTGCACGCTGCTCAGGGTGTCACAGTACCAGTAGTTGTTTCCCTGGGGAAGACACATCAGCAGTCTTGCCTTCGACTGTTGGTAGGAGGTCCAGTAGCCAGCAGAAGTTAGCCCAGGAGTTGCTGTGGCTACAGTTTTATTCATCACCACCAGTGTGTGAATGCATGTGTCAGTGGGTGAATGACTGATGTGTTGTAAAGCACCTTGGGGGGCTGTGGGGCTCTAGAAGGTACTATATATAAATACAGGACATTTACCATTTAAATACCACACATCTTCTGGTAAATGCATGAGACATTGCAATGATTAAAAATCAAGATTAAACTCAAACCACTTTGGTGTTCACTCTTGTTCCATGGGTCTAGTTGTATTTTAAGGTGTTTCGTATTCAAAAGTACTAAGAATGAGTCCCTATAAACACAAAATTTAACTTTTGTTTGAACAGCGTCTTTTAGTTAGGTACATGGATTAGAGATGCAGGAATCACAACTCAGTAATACCATGGTTGGTACTTGTATTGATGTAAGTGACCAGCAGAGGAAAATGTGTTTTTATAGAAGCACATCATGGAAGCTGGAAATAAGATTGTGCTTCTTCCTGACACTCGCGGAGTACAGACGCTTCTCTCTTTGCTCCCTTATCTTTTTTTCCCAAGGCTCTTTGTCTTGTCTGCCCACAGAGCGCTTCTCTGCATTTCTTCTGAAAACCCCTATTTTTAACCATGGATTTGATAAATTAGTCATTCAACGTGATTGATAAGATTTTTTTCAACAATGAGAACAGAGCAGGGGGCTCCCACATGCCCACAGAGGACACACCAGTGGGGTATATGCAGGATTCCTGGAGGAATGGAAGATCATATGCCTCTCCCAGCTGTCCATTGAGGATGTCGAAGACGTGTGGATATTTGGCCTGATGAGCACAGGATTTCTCCTGATTGGAGTGGGAGGATATCTGGTTTTCTGGAAATTTGGGAAGACGGGAGCAATTGGAGGGCGACCCACACTAACGGAAAGCACCGTCCGCGTGGAGACTTCACAGACTGGGACGTTACTCGGGGTAGAGCCCTGCACAGGCCTAAAATCTGAGCCGGTGTCCGGCCCGGCCCGAGGGGGTGGAGCCCCCGCCCGACCCGGTCCGAAAAGGTTTTCAGGATTCTCTGGCCCGACCCGAGCTCAACTTTTTTTTAACCAACTAAATGAAAACAAAGTGTGTCAATCCTGACCAATGTGTTAAAAGACGTACAAGATCCGATCAATTTGTTTTTCCCTCATTTACCGTCACGGAGATTACGGCGCACTGGCTCTGGTGGTAATCAAGTTAAATTTTATCTCTTTCCAACAATTTTCACAATAAAACAAAACAGTCAAAAGCAGGGCTTGTGTTGTGTTGACCGGATAGTTCCCGTATTTGACCGTTTTCATTTGACGGAGAAAGAATAGAAAGAATAACCCCGACGCATGCGGACGAACTGACATTTTACTCTACGCACATCGCAGATGTTGCTAAATCACCCAAGAAAAGATTCCCATCTGAACATCTGAACTGGACATTGCTCAGTGCAGCTCGCTGTCAGTGCATATGTGCACAGCGAGCTAAAGTTGTGGAGATTGGCTTGGAGCACGTCGCAGAACCAGAGCGCATGCAGGAAGGTTCCTCCCACTGAAGCAAGTGTTTTCCAAACCCTGTCTCTCAGAGAGACTTGTCACTTAGAAAATGTTCCCTGATTATGTGGCTGAATAGTGCTTGTTCCTGTCTCCAATGTGGCAACGCATCCAGGAGCCATCTGAGGAGAAGCCCAGAATCTCCCATCCTCTTCAGCTCAGAAAGTACATATGATTACACACAAGCGTGACCCGTCAACCCGGTCTCACAGTAAGACCGGGTTGGGCCTGTTCAGGTTTACGCAGACAATCTTTACATAGAATTGACTTACAGATATAAAATTAATTCAGTAAAATATAAAGCATTTTATTTAAATATCCATTCATTATTTTACAAGCACAGAGAGCCGCATCAGATTCAAATCAGCGGGAAGATTCCTCCAACTGAATTCAGTTGGAGGAATCTTCCCGCATGTGCTCTGGTTCTGCGACGTGCTCCAAGCCCCTCTCCATATCTTCGCTGAGCAGTGTCCAGCTCAGTTGTTCAGATGGGAATCTTTTCTTGAGTGATTTAGCTATATCTACGATGTGAGTAGAATAAAATGTCAGTTCGTCTGCATGCGTCGGGGTAATTCTTTCTATTCTTTCTCCATCAAAATAAACGGTCAAATACGGGAACTATCCAGTCAACACAAGCCCTGCTTTTTAACTGTTTTGTTTTCTTGTGAAAATAGATAAAATTAAACTTGATTAACACCAGAGCCAGGCGCACTGTGCCGTTATCTCCGTCACTGTAAATGAGGGAAAAACAAAATGATCGGATCCTTTTCTGACCTTCCCCACCTACAAAGTTTAATTACAACAATCAAACGACAATCTCCAATGAGCCTGGATTTGTATTCTGAACAGTCTAAACATGTTTTAAAAAGAAATGTATGACAAAAGTGGCACCTGCTCAGTAAAACCACCAACAGGGTGAAAAATATCAAAATATTGTATGCAGAGACGGGCTACAACTTCTGGATCCACTTTATATAAATCGTTTTATTGATTATCTTTTTATGAAAGATAACTTTGACGTACATGAGCGACCGATACTGGCTGCTGTCACCTGTTGTGAGCAGCTCTCTGCTGTCTGAGGGTAGGCCCTGCCCACAACGCCGTGGCTGCTGTGGCTCCCAGTGTTTTCTTTACTGTGGGAAATGGGTAATAATGGCTCTTTGATGGGAACAGGTTGCCGACCCCTGGTTTAAGTGTTTCAATTTTTTTAATGAATTTGCTTAAAAATAAAGGCGCCCGGCCCGGCCCGTGTCCTAGGTAATTACACAGTCGTTGGCCCGAAGCCCGGCCCGAGGGCTGTCGGGCCAGGCAGACCCGAGGGCCTAGGGCTTCAGTGCAGGGCTCTAACTAGGGGTGAATCGTAAGCTGGACAAAGTTCTAGCTGCGAAACCGGTATTAGTACGCAAAATGGATGTCATCTCGGAGAGGGTCACCGGATGGTTTGGACAAGTTTAAAAACCCAAATTGGCTTCACTGAAGGACTGGAATCATCAGTTTAAAGACTGAAGGCAGAGAGGGAAATGATCTCAGCCTGACCCAAACAAAGTCTTGTTATCCAAATCTGACGCCCTAGCAGCCTTGAGAGGCTAGCAACAAACCCCTACAAAGGAATGCAGACAGATGCTGTGAAAACCAACCTACCACCCCCTCCTGGTGGGAGGGTAGCTGTGAAGTGCCTTTTTTCCCTCCTCCCGAATCAATTCCTCATGTTACCCTCTTATCTCTGTTATTAAGGTAGCGCGACTCAGGGTTGGGAATGACCACAGTCACCAATTCTTGTCATGTGTCTTGCCCATGTATGTCTGATCTCTGAATTGTGTGTACTGAAACTCTAATTTCCCTCTGGGATTAATAAAGTATCTTTGAAATGTTTTGAAATTGAAATAGGTGTGATTCTTCAAATGCATTAATCAAAACATGTATAATGTGTTTCTTCAACAGATAAGAGATGCATTGATTGGACGGGGACTGCCATCAAACATAAGTCTTCGCCTTGTGAGCAGCAGCAGAAGCAGCAGTCCAGTTCAAGTGACAATAGCTGCTTCCCATGGGTTGTCATGAAAATGCATAGGACTCCTGAAGGGAAAGGGGTTTCCTGCTGTTTAGATACAGTGTTTGGTCACAACTGCCAACAAGCTACTTTGAACCCCAAACTAAACCCTCACACATGATAAATCACGGTTAGTTCACAAGCCATAAAAACATTGTAGAAGTTTTAAAAAGTTAGTTGTCCAGATAGCCTGTTATCTTTATGTTGCTGTTATTTTGTACTGGTGTAGTTGGGAGGACCGCTTTATCTGCCGTTTTTTGGTGTCTGATGGAATACATCTGCTGATTGTATATTTGATTATTGTTGGTTACAGTAAAAATTACAAAAAAAATCCAGTGTGAATGCGCAGCAAAGCCAACAACTACTGTAACTGTTATCCACAAATGTGTTCATTCAGAATAAGAATAAAGATGTTTGTGTCTGGTTGATGATTTGTTTTAACAAAGGTTCCCAGGCAATAAATCTTACATCATTGGATAACCTCATAAGTCACCTATGTGGTATAACTTGTTCAGATCCAAAACTATGCCAAAAATTATTCTGATTATTTTTGTGATTCTATTCACTCTGAGTTCTGAGTTTCTTGTTTGTGGCTGATTGTTCCCACAATAGAGAAATATATATACACTTTATCTGTTTTACAACACTAGGAACCTCAGTTGAATCCGGAAGATCCATATACACATTTAGACAAGAGAGCTTTATTTGTAAAGCACATTCCCTACACAACTCAATGTGCTTTACAGCAGCAAAAACAGACAAGACAAACACAACGAACAGTTGCATATACTAAAACTACAAGACTAACATAATACCAGTGAAACACTGAGAAGGGAACAAAATGTGGTCAGCCAGGAATTATTAAGTGAAAACAACAAAGCTGAAGGTGTCAGGAGACTAAGGCCTAGTCAACACGTAGCCAGGGTTTTTTGAAAACGAATATCCGCCCCTCCAAAAACTTGCATCCACACCCCCGCGTTTTAAAAACAAACTCTGTCCACACGTACCCGGATAAATACGTTGTTAAGGGCATGCCAGACCTGTAGGCGGCAGTACTTCCCCCATTCTTAACCTCGTCCTTCGTCTGTGGCCTTCCGCAAGGAGCAGTAATTCCGCTTGCAAAAACAAACAAACAGAAAGCGCTTGGACAATTGATGGATCGGGTAGTGACAGAGCGCAGTTCTGAGGGCTTCCGTGATGCCGGCTAGTGTAAACACAGGTCGCACACGTGATGTCAGCATTTTTTGTCGCGGAAAGTGACGTTGCGGACCTTAAAACTCCGGTTTTGTCTGTCCACACGCAGACACCCAAAACGGAGAAAACGCAGATCTTCACTTTGGCCGGAGTTTTTAAAAAGATCCGTTTTCGTGTGAAAAATATCTACGTTTTGGCAGATCCCCGGCTACGTGTGGACAGGGCCTAAAACTAAGGTTCAATGAACTACAGAAAAGCATTGTTAAAAATTGAGAATTTCAATGCTTTGAATGGGCAGGAGGACTAACCTAGAATTTACAATGAACTGCATAAAAAAAGTTACTAATTAGTAGTATTACGAAAACTTGGTGTACCGAGGCAGACCAAAACTACAGCAGTGAAACAGGTCAAATGAACTACAAAAAAAAAACACATTGTACTAAAATTAGAAGACTAACAGAATATAAATTAAGCAGCGAGAAGTGAACTAAGGCAGTGAACCATCCAGCCAGGAATTACTAATTACACGGAACAAAAATATAAACGCACTTTTGTTTTTGCTCCTAATTTTCATGAGCTGAACTCAAACATCTGGAACTATTTCAACATACACAAAACACCCACGACTCGCAAATATTGAAATCTGTCTGCGTGCGTGTTAGTGAGCACTTTTCCTTTACCAAGACAATCCATCCCACCTCACAGGTGTGGCTTATCAAGGGGCTGATTAGACAGCATGTTTAATGTACAGGTGTGCCTCAGACTGCCCACAATAAAAGGTTATAAATGTATTCAAAGACAGCTCAGTTCATTTCCAGTTTCATGCAGAAGAAGCGGAGTGAACGAAAGCCCTTTTGCCCACTTCGATGTGAGCAAACGGAGCACAAAGTGATCATTTTCACACAGGCCGTGAGAAGTTACACCTCTCTGTGAGATTCAAGCATGGCCTTGTACCGATGTCCCAACCTCCAAAGAAGGCCATCCCACTTGAGAATCAGAACAAAAGATTTTCTACTGCAATCAAATTCAATCAGCGTGAGTGATTTAGTTTATCTGGATAGGTTTTTCTGTGTTTTAACAGTGAAAAGGGAAAATGAAATCAGAGGAACAAGGCTGTTTTTAAACTAAGGCCACACTTACTCCACTTTGGTGCTTCACGCCGAGCTTTATCGTGTTATAATGGCAGCTGAGAAATGTGAGTGGGTTTATTTTCTTTATTTCCTACATTCTTACTTTTTGGTTATTCTATCTGACAACGACTATGTGAACCAAGAACTATAAGATCACCTTCAACCACAACCATACTTAAACCAAAAATACAAAATGAGATAAGAATTACACTACTTGTTCCTGTAGCATCCATAATTTCTTTCAAAACTTGAGCAGCCATGATGGCACCAATCCTTGGCTACAGACAAAACTATTACTACATAGAATCTGCACTAAAATCAGGCGGTAACAAAAACACTTTAGACTGAGTCTTGTCATTTAAACGTGTCTGACCTGCATCATAATGTTGGTTTTCTATGTCTTTGTATTATGTACATTTTCTGTGTACAATGTTCTCTGCTACACTGCCTCTGCAACATGTTTACAATACCAACATCAGAAACCTTCTTCTCACTCACTTTAACTATGCAGTTGGATCAACCAGTTCAGCTGATTTTCCAGTAAAGGACTCAGAGGTAGATGTTCCAGAAATGCACAAAACCAGTTTCAGTGACAATTAAATTGCTTTTGCTATCTGTACCTGCATCAGCATTAGAACACAAAGGAACTATGTTCATTTACTACATCATTAGCATATAGATAAAGGTTTGAGCGATTACAACTTATATTTGTTCTTGATCCACTGAAGGACAATCAAATGATAGAAGGAGCAGACACAAGTGGCCCCAAAAACAAAAAATTCTGAGTGAAATGCAACTGAAGTGGGATGTAAACCTTCCCTCTCAGACAAGACATATATTTAAGATTATATTTTTAAATCTTTTTATACTTTTTATAACTTTTTATTCTGTATAGCACTTTGGTCGGCTGCCATGCCGTTTTTAAATGTGCTTTATAAATAAAGATGGTATGGTATGGTATGGTATGGTAAATCAGGAGCATTTCATTCTTAAGGAAGAGGATTAGGGCCACTGAAAAGGGGAAAAAAGTATCGAAAGAGAATTTTGATTTTAATCTCAGAATTCTGCCTTTTTAATTCAGAATTCTTGTGATCCTGAGGAAAAAAAGTCTGAATTTTGAGATTAACGTCAGAATTCCCTGTTTTTTATTTTCTTTTTTTCCTTTTCTGTGGCCCTAATCTGCTTCCCGCACCTGCATGTTATTTTCTCTTATAAAAATAAATAAATTAATTATGTATAGTATATATATATATATGGTAAATGGCCTGTATTTGATATAGCGCCTTCTAGAGTTCTTGAAACCCCCCAAGGCGCTTTACAACACAATCAGTCATTCACCCATTCACACACTGGTGGTGATGAGCTACAATGTAGCCACAGCTGCCCTGGGGCGCACTGACATAGGCGAGGCTGCCGAGCACTGGCGCCACCAGTCCCTCCGACCACCACCAGCAGGCAACGTGGGTTAAGTGTCTTGCCCAAGAACACAACGACAGCGACAGACTGAGCGGGGCTCGAACCTGCAACCTTCCGATTACGGGGCGAGCACTTAACTCCTGTGCCACCGTCGCCCCAATATATATATATATATACATGTATGTATGTATATATATATATATATATATATATATATATATATATATATATACAGTTGTGGTCAGAAGTTTACATACACTTGTAAAAAATATAATATAATGGCTCTACTGAGTGTCCCGTTATTTCTAAAACTCTGATTTTTCTCTGATAGAGTGATTGGAACAGATACTTCTTTGTCACAAAAAACATTCATGAAGTTTGGTTCTTTAATGTCTTTATTATGGGTTAACAGAGAAAAGTGATCAATATTTAATCAATTTCCCTCTGGGATTAATAAAGTATTTTTGAATTTGAATTTGAATTGAATTTGTATTCTATTTTAGATCTTTACTCGCACATCAAATTCCTTCCTGTTTCTTTCATTTAGAAATATCTGAAGTGCTGTGATCTTGTTTTTAAATGGGTTTAACTGTACTTGGTGACTTTATGTCTGTGAAAAGCTCATTAGAAATAGGTTGAACTTGCTAATGCTTACTATATTTGGTGCCAGGAGTAATTCTCCTGACTTCAGTTTGGAAATACTTTTATCGCCCCCTGTTGGTCATTTGTTTGAAAGCTGATGAAAACGGCCCTGTTCGTTTACCTTTGCTGAAGACCAAGTTCACTAGTTTTTAAACACATTTGCAGTGTTTGTCACAGAGTGATGATGTTGCACTAATGTTATATTTTATATTGCATGTTTTACTTGTTTTTATTCTGATGCGCACGTTTTTTTTATTGATGGTGTGTTTTTAGTTGTTTGGTGCAACATTGTGTGTTCATTCTATAATCACCCCGATCATCTACACCTGTGGCAGAGTGTTGCCTGGACTGCCAATTGATGAACCGACGCAGGCAGGCAGGACAGGCTTTATTTAAAGGGAGGAACGTATGGACCGGGGGACGAAATTAAATCTATCATTAAAGCACATATAATGGAAGAGTGGCAAAGAATGTGGGAAAGGGGAGAAAAAGGAAGACATTTATTTCAGATACAAGGGAAAGTAGGAAAATGGAAAAATATAAGAATGAATAGTAGAGATCAAAGAACAATATCAAGATTAAGAATGAGTCATACTGGGCTTAATAATACGATGCGTGGATGTGGGGTGGGGGGAGAAACAGTGCATGTTTTGTGTGACTGCATAAAATATGTGGAAAGTAGAGGACAACTCAGGGAGAAATTAAAAAACAGGAGATGGAGTGATAAATGTAAAGAATTTGTTAAGTAGTGAAGAAAGGAAATATAAGTTGGTTATTGAGTATCTAAAACACAGAGGTTTGTTGAATAGAATTTAGTTGTTTTTTTACGCTCTTACTCCGACTCACACTCCAGCACAGTATAGGTGGCGGAAATGCACCTAGCAGTTAGATGCCACCCGCCAATAAACACGAAGGAGAAGAAGACGAAGACCAGGGGGACACAAAGAAATATCAGGCAGAAAGAAGAAAAATGATTCAAAATCTTAGTCAGATGAAAGTGAAACTAGAGCTTGTTGATTTATTGAGACAGAATTCAAAAAGTG